ACAGAATATACTGTAAAGTGAATTGACTATGTATTTTGTGGGCGAAACGCGATAACCAATTGCGCACAGCAGTGTCTCAGAAACAGTAGTAGATTGATTGACCAAATTATTATTATTATTATTTTAAGGGACTCATCCACCAATTGACTAACAACTGGATTCCAACTTACTGCTTGGTAACCAGACGCGTGTGGATTAAGTAAAGTTGCCTAAGTTGCTGGGAATGGAACCAGGGTCCTCTCACTTGCGAGGCGAGTGCTTGAACCAATACTCTACAGGACGCCACTAAATGAAAAGAAAATCGCGGATTCCAACAGTGTCCAACTACATGGAAGTGGACAATAAAGTATGTTGAATAACACATTTCTATTACTGTGCTCCAACAAATTACTATCTTTTTCCATGAAAGAGCTTACCAGAGGAATCCGAAAAGGACTGATTAAGGTCGCTATTGCTGCGGACACTGAAGAACTGGAGTCACCAACAATAGCGGAAACCACAGGTGCTCTTTTGCAAGTGAAATCTGAAGATGTTTCTTCAAGACGGTTTAAAAAATCGAAGGTTCTTTTTATTGATACGGCAGGTGTTAAACAAGAGTCGGAAATCCAGTAGCCCAGAGTAATGTTGGGAAGCAGTGTCGAATCTTTGTTTATTTCTTCTATAGCAAAGATCATCGCCATTGCTAAACGAAACAATCTGAATCGAAACCTGTAGCAATCACAATATTAAATACACTATCTGTCGAATTTTACAACAGTGAAAGTAACATTGGTATTATCTTTCCGGAAAAGAATAAAACAACAGCTAGATTTCCCCTTCCTGCAGTTAAGATATAGTAAAGAAGGCTGAAGGAAAGAATCAACATTTAGAGCAAGATGGCACACCTTCCTGTATTGCATAGAAATATAAGCAATAAAACCATAACTCGTTTAGATATTGTTAACTCATTTTAGTCGGTTAGAGTGTAATCTAACTTGGCAAATTTCAGCTCGACATACATTTTTAAATGGTGATCAATCAATACGCTAACTGGACCAGTCCAGCTTTATACCTGCTTTACTTTGGGATGTTTTCCCACCTTGAAAGACATCCACAGACGTGAAATGGGTAGAATTTGTATTGTGATTGTATCGTTTCTGGACCTGTCTAACGCAACCGGCAATTATTGCAGATTTGGATTTTTAACAGACCAGTTTCGCCCTTATTGATTTTGTTTACCTTCCGGTAACCCAGAAGAGAAATTAAATAAACAATATCACAATGAAATTGATGAACTCACTTGAATATTTCGGGCACGATATATTTATAATTATGGAATCCCACCTGCCGCTGATAAAAATATAATTCACCAACATTATGTCACGTACCTCTAGGATACATGTATTCTACGACTCATATTCCTTTCATTTGTGTTTTATCCAGGAACATCTCAATATAATGTGTAGGAAGATTACCAAAATCTCACCAAAATAAATAATTGGATGCTGCACTACAGTTCCTGCCATTAATAGAAAAGCTTTCATGCAAACACAACGCAAACACAATCTGTGACTATTTCACAGATTGGAAGTTGTTTAAATATATATTATCATGCTGCAACAATGTTAGTTATCTAAAAGAGTGCAAGTACTATACTGTAGTTAATCCGCAACGATCGGTCTACTATTATAATCGGATAGGATAAATGGACAGCTTCACTAACTTTGTACATGTTACTTCTTTTGGTTGGGTTTTGAAATTCAAATCATGAACTTCAACATCGACATGAATACTGAAAAGTCCTCCGAGAACGATGTCGCCGTCTTTAGACAAACTGAGCAGATCAAACATCCCCCAACGTTTACAGGTTGGTTCTTCAGTCAGCCACACAGGAACAAGAACAGAAAACAATAGCACACAGAGCATAGGGAAACACATGGTTTTTAAATGTGCCCATCAGTGTCCAGAACTACAGCCAATCGCCCTTATATACTTTTAATATTGTTACATTCCACTGACAGCTGTGTACACTGGCTTGAAATAGATATACTATTCCAGAAGCCCTGAACAAATTAAGGACAATTCTCAGAAGGAAGCACATTACCACTTTAATCTTCCTCCAGATATTCAAACCAAATATAAAAAAGAACACAATGTAATTACATATGAGGTACAATCTTATTCCCTTTTCATTAATTTTCTACAGCAATAATTAATGTATTAAGGTTTAATTTAACAGATGTGTGCGATATATCGTAAAAGTTGTCAGGAATACCAAGTGCTACCAAGACTTCCAAATAATTGTTGCGGTTCAGGTGCAATGGGGGTCAGAACTCAGGGAGGGAGGTAATTGCTCTGGGACGTTAGACTGCGTGAGGGGTGCTATATGCAAGTTAAAGATCCCACAACATTATTTGAAAAGAGAAGATTGTTTCTCCTCGGGTCCTGGCCAACAATTTCCCAAATACAATTGGGCATTCACTTTGTGACTGCTCGTGTGACATTTCTCTGTGCAAATTTTGACTGCCATACTCAGCCACAAAAATACAGAATCACTAAACTTTACAGTAAAGTCTGTGAAGCATTTTGAGATGTCCTCCCAAATGACACTGCATCAAATGCAATGCTTATAATTATTTTATAAAACACAATTATGTAGATTCCTCGCTGGCATTAACTTTTAACAGGTAAGTCTTTTAAAAGAGGTGGAAATAATAAAGAAATAAGACTGAAATATTTGCTCTGCACCTCGTTTGAATACCAATGAAAGCTCTATCCATCATGTGCTTCTTTGTATAATTTGCTGGCTTTAGTAATATGATTTAACATTTGGGAGCAAATATACAGACAAGTAATGCAAAGCTAGATGCAAAAATGACCACCCTACCCGATCCTTGTCCAGCTTGGATCTCCCTACGTGTTAGGGATGTGGTTTACAGGGTCAACAGGAGCTGAGTGGAAAGACTCATTCCCTCTCTGAGTTCTATTGATAAGCCAGACTGGCTGATCTGTTATCATCAGTGCCCTGGAGTACTGCGGTCGCACATGGTTTAGAAACCTGACGACCAAGACTGCCACAGAGAATTGACTCGATTCTGGCATTCCGTTGCTAAGCATAATAATAATCCTTGCATTTGATATAGTGCCTTATTATGTATTTGAGATATCTCAAAGCGTTTACAGAATATACTGCAAAGTTCATTGACTGTATGTCACCTTGAAGACAATTCAGCTCCAAGGATACTGAATTTACCCCTACCCTCTCCAACGCCCCAAGGATGATAATGCCCATATTGTTTGGAAAGAATAACTCAGAAATCAATGCAGAAAAGTTACCTTTTACTGGATGTTCTTCAAACCCTCAATAAAAATGCTGTTCTGGAGAAGTTTGAAAGAGTGTCTGGTAGGCTTTGAGAGTGTGAAAGTTAGAGGTGAAGAAATCTCTTAGTCTGCAGCAGAATATTTAGATATGATGTGAATTGCAGTATATTGTACATGAACAAATTGTTACACACTGACTCTGTACAAGCATATCACAATGACTGTAATGCCAGGACTACAGCTGTGCAACATAGCAGTGCAAAGCTCTGCTATACTCCATGTCCATGCATATGTACTGATAATGCAGCATCTTATCTCTTCACAAGGAAAGAAGGAGCACAAGGAGCACCTCCAACCCAAGGACCCACCATCACTATCTCTTATTGAAGCAATTACCACTTTACGTGTGAATGTACGTGAGTGAGTAAATCGGTGTGTACGTGTAGGGTTTGCGTGTGAGGGAGTGAGTCTGTATGTCAGTGTATGTGTGTGTCTATGTGTGAGTCTGTTTGTGTGTGTGTGTGTGTGAGAAAGTGAGTCAGTGTGTGTGTCTGTGTGGGATTTATATGTGAGTGTGACGTGTGTGTCAATGTGTGTGTGTGTGTCTCTGTGTGAGGGAGTAGGTATGCGTGTCTGTATGCATACGTCTATGCGTTTGTGCCTGGGTGTGTCTGTGTGTGAGTGAATCAGCGTGGGTGTGTATGTGAGTGAGTCAGTGTGTGTGCATATCTGTGTGTGAGGGAGTGAATCGGTGTGTGCGTGTGTGTCTGTGAGTGAGTCAGTGTGTGGTCTGTGTGAGTATGTGTGTCTCTTTGTGTGTGATATATATGTGTGTTAGAGAGTGTGACTTGTGTGTGTGTGTGTGTCTATCTCTCTTTCTCTATTTCCCTCATCTCTTTATCTTTCCTTCTCACTGTCATCAATCCCTCCCTCCCTCCATCCATCTATCTATCCCGTCTATCCCATTTATCCCATCTAGCCCATCTTTCCTATCTATCCTTTCTTTTTTATCTTTCTTATCTTGTGGAGTCCTGTAGCTCAGTGGTTACAGCACTCGCCTCTCAAGCAAGAGGACCGGGTTCAATTCCCAGCAGGGCGAAATCGATCGGATATCCAGTGGTAATATTTCCTTCAACATAAAAATAGTAATAATTTGGTCACATAATCCATGACTGTGTGTGGGACACTGCTAAGTGCAATTGGCTACCATTTTTTGACGACATAACATGCAGTCAATTCACTTCATGGTATATTCTATGATGCACTTTGAGATGTCTAGAAGACATGAAATGCAAAGATTATTATTGTTACGTAGAAAAAAGCTAGATAGTGTTGAAGAAGTATAAGGCGAGGCACTGTGCAGTGGTGAGGAAAATTGTAGCAATGACTGGGGGGACCTTTATTTGTCACCAGCATGGGACATAGAAATGTATTAAATGAAAACTGAGTCCACATTCTTGTTATTTGCATAAGTGGAAATTGTTTGCACTTGATTAGTAAAAAATATATGCAGCATCACAATTTGAAGTGACTTTAGTTGCATTTTATTTGGCAAGCAATCACACTAGGCTGTAACATCATAGTAAACATACAGTTTGTTGTTACAAATATTTCAGACAGCAATTGTTCTTCATATATACTTCTGAATTCTATCCTAAGAAATAATCCAAACTATATTTGTTCAATTCCAATATACCCATAAACATTCATAGTTTATTAGAAGGCTTTTTACCCATCATATGCTTCTTTGTATTTTTTTCGGGTTTTCGAATGATGATATAACATTTTGGAGCAAAAATGGACAGCAGCAGTCCAGAGCTAGATGCTAAAATAGCAAATACTTCTACGGCTACTGTGTATTTTCCAGGAGAGCTTATATAAGCTGGAATAAATGTTATCCAAACTGCGCAAAATATAAGCATACTAAAGGTTATACATTTAGCTTCGTTGAAATTGTCTGGCAGTTTTCGAGCCAGAAATGCCACCACAAAGCACACACAGGATAAAAATCCCAAATAACCAAGGACTGAATAAAAGGCTGTTACAGACCCAACATCACATTCTAGAATAATTATTTCTTTAAGATACTTGGTATTTCTTACTGGAAAAGGTGGAGATATAGCTAGCCAGACAATGCATATTAAGCACTGCACAAATGTAAGGATTAAAATAGTTAGCAATTGTTGGGTTGGACCGAACCATTTCATTATGTTATTGCTTGGAACTGTTGCCCTAAATGCCATAAGAACCACAAATGTTTTCCCTAAAATGCAAGAAATGCAAAGAACAAAAGTAATTCCAAACAGTGTGTGCCGTAACATACAAGACCAGACTGATGGTTCGCCAATGAATGCCAGTGAGCATAGAAAACAAAGTGTTAAGGCAAAAAGAAGGAGGAAACTCAGTTCAGAATTATTTGCTTTAACAATGGGAGTGTCTTTGTAGTAATAGAAAAGAGCTGATATTCCAATGGTAAGACAAGCTCCAAACACTGCTATTATTGCTAAGAATATTCCCATAACATCTCCAAAGGACAAAAATTCTATTTTCTTTGGTAAACATTGGTCTCGTTGTTGATTGGACCAAAATTCTGAAGGACATGTAATGCAATCCAAGGAATCTGAAGAGATAAAATAAAACGTTTTTTAGTTAAACCTCTTCAAAATAGATTTAAATGCGCAATTTAAGAGTGTAAATTATTACGTACCAATGTTATTACTAATTTCACCATCGGCACATTGTACACAATCGTAACAACAAATTGGATGACCTTTTCTTGCTGCTCTTCTTGTTCCAGGGAGGCAACTTTCAGAACAAACAGCTCGTGGAGCCTTATCGATAAAGAACCAACAAGATAGTCATGTCATACATTCTGTCCATTTGTTACAAGTGTTTGATCTTGCAAAAGAACTATTCATAACCTTTGCAACTGTATATCAATGGGCACATTTCATTGTATCCTTCATAATTATAGGTCAATTATTATATTTGGCTCATCATAATTGCTGGTGCTTTGAGAATGAAATCTATTCAATTCTATTTACCAATGCCCCCACCCCCTATTTATTATTAATCCTTGCATTTAATAAAGTGCTTATCGCGTCTTCGAGACATCTCAAAGAGCTTCACAGAATATACAGTACTGTAAAGTGAATTGACTATATCTTTTGTTGGCAAAACAGGGCAGCCAATTTTGCACAGCAGTGTCCCACAAACAGTCGTGGATTGAGTGACCACATTTTTTAAAAGGAATTATTACCCCCAGAAAAGCGATCGGACAATCAACTAACAATCGGGTTCCTACTTACTGCCAGGTGAACAGAGGTCTGTGGAGTAAGGAAACTTGCCCAACATTTTGCCCTGCCGGGAATCAAACCCAGGTCCTCTCACTTGAGAGGCAAGTTCTCTAACCACTAAGCTACTGGACCAAGTATCTGCTAATAATAATAAGTAAAGTAATAAGAATTACCTTACTTTGACCTCCGCTCCAGACCATGGTTCCTTTCTTTATCATAAGTTGCTGGTCTGAGGGTTCAGAACCATCATAGTATCCGATGGTCAAAACATCGGCACCACCATGGTTATTTGGTTGCCAGTTTACAATGTCATAGGTTGGGACTGAATCACCATTTTCATCGAAGTATACCCTTTCACCGATCTTAGTTGTAAAATTTACTGTTTGCATGTAAAACAAAAGCTTTATAGGAAAAGATCATAGCGGTGACGTGGATAAGACGAGTCATATTTATGCCTATTAAATATTTCAACATTTTAACTTATTATTTGTCAAATATATAACTGTCACAAATCCTGTAATTCAGTATAATATCCACAGTATTTATACTAAGTAGGACCCCCTTTTCTCTCCCTTTGCTTTTCAGAGTGTATCTTGTCCCACTCTGGTCAATTCACAGAGTGTGGGATGGAGGGGGGGGGTGAAGGGCGAGGAGGGGCGATGTCTGATGATAACCTAACAAAGAGTCTCCCTCCAAACCTCACTCACTGAAGGGTTTAATCTGCATTTCTGTCACAGATGTACGGTTAACATTTCAACCTCATAGCTATGCGGAGTCATATAGACGAAAGTAATCCCACCAGTCTTCAATGTTGCCCCGCAGCACTATTCATCTTAATATCACATGCTTTGACTTACCTGCCATGGTTCAAAATGTAAAATGTTTGCACAAGTCTTATTAGCAAACGGTCCTTTTCCATATTCACACGACAGCATATCATGGAGTGCGTGGGCGATAGCATACGTGGCTTTGTATACACTGTAAGTGACTCTCAGTGCAGATACATCTGTAAAAATATTATTTATTGTAGATAAATGTTCTTTTCCTGTACACTCCTTGTTGCGAGAAACAGATGTTACATTTTCAGTCTCGTTGTCAGTCATTGATAGGGTACAGCTGAAGGCTGTTTCCCAAAACTCTTTCATTAAAATATTGTTAGGGTAACTGGAAGGCCGCAAATGGGTTAGAAATGTCTTTAAACCCGGCAAAACTACTTTATGAATTGCTGTTCCTATTGTCCCAGTAAGAATTCTTCTGTTTTCTTCTGGAGAGAGAAGAGACGTAGAAACCCATGCTTCGCTTCCTACCCATTGTATACCTGTGATATTTTGCTGTGCAATTTCTTTGATCAAAACAGCCATATCTCCGAGGCTAACAAAGGCCACGATAATTTTTGTTGCCGACTTTTTGATAACATCTATAGTTTTAAGTAACGCCTCTCTGGGATAAATTCTGAAAGACTCAGAGAAAGCAATACATACGCCAAATTGCTGAACGGTCTCAGTGAATGTCTGCATTCCAAAATTGCCATAATCATTGTCGCTTTTAATCGTCCCAATCCAAGTCCACCCAAAGTGTTTAACAAGCTGAGCTAATGCTCGGGCTTGGAAATAATCGCTTGGTATTGTTCTGAAAAATGAAGCGAACTCTCGTCTATTACTGAGACACTCACATGTGGCAAAGTAGCTTACCTGTGGAAAATCACAATGGAAATAGCAAACTTAGCTGAATGAAAATATACACCATTATTGTCAATGTAAATTTAAAAGTCATATTGCATGCATTAAGACTACCAAAGCACAGTTTGTGTTACACAATTTTACAACATTACAACATTTTACTGAATTTAGTATCAGTAACTGTTGAAAGGTGGGAGCGAGCAGGTGAGCAATGTTTCAGTAGGTCGCAGAGGTCGGGAGCAACAAGATCGTGGAGGGTTTTAAAAGTGAGGAAGAGGATCTTGAACTCGATCTTCTAGGGTATTGGGAGCCAATGAATCCAGGCAAAGGTGGGGGTGCTAGTTTAACAGAGCTTGGTGCGGGAGAGGACATGGGCTGCAGCGGGTTGAGTAATCTACATCTTGTGGAGGGGAGAGTTCGGAAGTCCGGAGAGCAGGGAGTTTACTCAATTTACTTGATTACTTCCTATATTCCTCTTCCCTCAAATTTGTCTCGCTCATCTGTAAGCGCCATACGTGTTATTTATTATCCGGATGTGACCTATGCTCGATCTGTGGTGCGGGCCTGAAGAAGAGCTAAAAATGTTTACGTGAAATGGGTACGAATACAAGGCGAATAACAAAACGAGTCTGCGTGAAACCACTAGACTATGAGCTGTTACCATCAAATACAAACCTGAGCTGTGTGTTAGACATTTGAATAGAGTCAGGGTTGAACAAATGTAGAGTGTATACGTGTAGAGATATATTTAAATAGTTTAATAACTTTATGTTAGCCGATAAATGTTTATCCTTGAAAGCTAAAAATAGTATCTTTTTTTTAAATAAAAAAGTTTATATTCATCAGAATGAAATACTAATTTGGTCTGAATGTCAGATTGAAAGCAACAGTAGGAGAAATTCTGCAATTCAGCCCTCGGCTTGAAGGTAAATCGAATTGTCCAGTCATATATCATTTTACTGGCAATGTATGTGTTCTACACATTTTTTTTCATTAAAATCTAACTCCAGTGTTTTTGTGGGATATTTTCAGATCATTAGCTATTAGCAGTGTTACAACAAACATTAGATGGAAATAAGAATGGAAGTTATTTTTAGTAAGTGATGTCAGCGACTCTCACATTTCCTGTCAAACAAGAAAACCTACAGGCATAAAACATGCTACACATGATACAGCCATGAAGTCGTTTTGAAATAGNTTTTTTCATGGGTAAAAGGAAAAACCCAATTTGGAAGACAACGAACTTCTTTATTTTTGTTTTGCTTTTATATTTGTGATATCGAAGCAAAATAAAACCGTTAAGTCACAATTAAACTTGCATTTCGCACTGTAGTGAGCTCGGTTCAACATTACACCGATTAAGGATGCTTACCATTGGAATTCTGAACGGACCAATTGATCGTGCAACTGCTACAGACTGCGATGAACCAGAGTCAGCAACAATAGCAGATAACACCGAGTTTCGGTTGCATGTGTAATTTGAAGGCGATTCTTCGTGTGTAGTTAAAATGTCCAAGGCTGCTTTCATGGATAAGGATGGCATGCCACATGAATCAAAAATCCTGTAGCCCAGAGTTACATTCGGAAGGAGTGTTTGGGCTTTATTTATTTCTTCTATTGCGAAGATCATTGCCTGAGCAAAGCGAAATGATCTGAAATCAAAGCTGTAACAATAATGATCAGTAGATTGGTAAACAAATGCAGAAGTTTCTCATCATTTTTTTCGGAATGTGATATTTAATATTTAATATTTAGCCTATAATTTAAATTCCACAAAAACTAACATAAAGGAAAATCAATACAGTGATCTTTAAGTACACGTTGCCGGTGACAAAAGTGCATTTACAACACCTTTCAAAATATTCTTCACATGCAGAACAAGGAAGATGCCATTATATTACAATTAATCTTAAATGGAAGTTAAAATTACATTCGTCCAAACAGTAAAGAGAATTCATTTTAAAATATTTTTAAATAAATCAAACACCAAACGATAATTCTATACAATATTTCCTATATAGCTGCAGTTGTAGAACAAACACAACATTCAACGAACATTTTGCATTTGACCGGTTTGGGTTCGGTTCTAAATGTAAGATCCTCTTGCGTTTCTGCATTGTAATGTACACTGAAGATTCCACCCAGGATGATGTCTGCATCTTTAGATATTCCAGGTAAATCATGCACCCTCCATTGCTTACAGAGTGGTGCTTCCATCCCAAGCAGAGGAAAACAGAATGATAACAAAAATGCCCCAAACAATAGATGATACATTTCAGACATAGAAAACGTCTAGCATCCTATGTAGATATCACTGTAAACTGGGAATATAAGTCTTATATGTTTTCACTCAAAATCCCCACAGGACACAAGGGAGGAGATTAATCAGATCAGTGGGAAAAGGAAACAAAACGTAAAGACAACACATTTTAATAACTCCTTGGTGATTAGTTGGCTTTGTTATTTCAACTGGAATCCAGAGTTCCATGATAAGATAAGAGGTAAATTGTACTGAAACGTTTTCTATACTATAGAGAATTGGAAAGATCCAGTTTCCCACTAGTTGATACCAACCAATAGAAATATTGAACCTGATTGTAAAATACTAAATTAGGGCAAACATCTTAATATTTAAAAGTAGATATATACAATAAAACTCTAGTTATATAGCAATGTTAGTTATCAAAATCTTATAATAATAATAATAATCCTTGAATTTGATATAGCGCTTTTCACGTCGGGAGGATGTCCCAAAGCGCTTCACAGAATGCACTGTAAAGTGAATTGACTGTATATTTGTGGGCGAACGCGGCAGCCAATTGCGCATAGCACACAAACAGTCGTAGATTGAAAATGACCAATTTATTATTGTTATTGTTTTTTTTGTTTTTTTTGGTTTTTTCTTTGGAGGGATTATTATTATTAGGTGTGTGGAGTAAGGAAACTTGCCCAAGGTTTCGCCCTCTGCCTGGAATTGAACTCAGGTCTCTCGCTTGCAAAGCGAGTGCTCTAACCACTGAGCTACAGGACTCCACATTAATAATAATTAATTATTAATAGTAATTAATAATAATTCTTGCATTTGATATACCATCTTAGCACATCATTGAGATGTCTCAAAGTGCTTCACAGAATATAATAAATAATAAAATAACCTTTGCATTTTATATCGTGCTTTTTCATGTCTTCTAGACATCTTAAAGCACTTCACAGAATATACTGTAAAGTGAATTGACTGTATATTTATGAGCGAAACTCGGCAGCGAATTACACATAGCAGTGTCCCACAAACAGTCGTGGATTGAAGTGACCAATTAATTGTTGTTTTTTTTCTTGAGTGATTATTATCAGACGTGTGGAGTAACGAAACTTGCCCAAGGTTTTGCCCCGCCGGGAATTAAACCAGGTTTCTCACTTGTGAGTCAAGTGCTCTAAGCACTAATCTACAGGACTCTATTTTGTTCCCCTCCCTCCCAATTTCATTTCACAATATATTGTAAAGTGAAGTGACTGTGCATTTTGTGGGCAAAATGCGGCAGCTAATTGTGAGGGATCAGAATAAGATTAATGTTTAAACATCTAGAAGATGTGATAAAGCACTATTATTAAACATAAGGATTATTATTATTATTGTCCTAAATTAATGGAAATAAACTCACTAGTCTGTAGTTTCCTGGGTCACTTTTGCTTATATGGTCTTCGACAACAACAGCGAATTACATTTGTACGGTGCCTTTCACATCAGGAGAATGTCTCAAAGTGCTGGACAGTCAGGGATCCGCACCTGAGCTGGTTGTTGGGATCAAAAGGGGTGGAGGGTGGGGAGTGTAGAGATAGGACGGTTACCGAAGGCACAGTCGAAAAGAAGGGTCTTGAGACAGGTCTTGAAAGCAAGTAAATTCGAAATGTTTGAATAAGTATTAAATGGAAATAGCTAGGGCGGAGACTGGAGCTTCTTTTTGAAGTAGTAAGGTTTCCCACATGCCCATCTCTAGATATGACACCAAACTAAATACACCTTCAGTAAAGTGATAACTTCATTCTGTATTTATTTAGGCATAAATTGGAATGGGGGAAGATAAAGCTAAATTAGCTTCCCTTACTGCCCAAAAGAGACAATTTAGAAATTGCATTGACTATGATTTCATGGACTGTGGAAATGTGTTCTGTGTACATAATGGTGTGGTTTTGTTAACCTGCATTTGCACATTCAAGGCGAACTAGGAGTGACATGTTGATAATTGTAATTTAAAAGGCAATTTTAGGTTATAGTAATAATATTAATGCTTGCATGTAATGTAACATGATTCAATTCAGTTCAATACATCTCAAAGTAGGTAGGGTAGGGGTAGCCAGGTGACTGAAGGTCAAAGAGGATGGTCTTGAGACGTGCCTTGAAGGAAGCAAGGGAGGGAGCAAGGCAAAGGGTCTGTGGGATGGAGTTCCAAAGGGTGGAGGCAGAGAGACTGAAGGCCCAACCACTGATAGTGGGGTGGGCCAGGCGGGGAACATGAAGCCGGCTGGAGACTGCTGAGTAGAGGGAGCGGACAGGTCAATATGGTGTTAACAAGACAGAAGCCATACTCTTCGGCTCCCTTCAACATCTTCTCTCCTGCAGTTCAGACCTCCTCAACCTACCCAATGTGTTCTTAAAACTCTCTGAACCCATGCGCAACCTCGGCGTCAGGTTATCCTTCCTCCTTTACATCTAGTCCCTGGGCAGGACCACTTTCCTCCACCTCCGCCACGCTGTCAGTCTCCAACAATATCTCACTCCACAAGCTGCTGAAATCCTTGTCCACGCCTCCGTCAACTCTCTCTGAGTGTCGAATTTATATTTGAGATATTGTCAGGACATTGGAAGAAACTCCCTTCTGTTTTGGAATAGTGCATTCTCGGTGCAGACAGTGGAAGCCATTTGCCCATGCTGGCCTTTTCCAAGAAGCAGCACTTTGGTGACTAATGTCAGTGCACCCCTAACCTCTGGAACTCCAAGCATCATCACTCAGCCTTATCTCTCTTCATCTATCTTTAAATCACACCTCTTCGACTGCACCAATAGTCACCTCCCCTTCGCTTTCTCCCTTGCTAGGTGTGCTACCACGTCATTCTGCAGTGCTCTGAGACATTATCCTGGATGAAGGACGATATATGAATACAAGTTGTTGTTGTTGCTGTGGTGATACATCTGTGTCCATGATGAATGTCCGTGTGACATTAGTGTTAGTTGGAGTCTGCACAACGGTTACTGGTAGCCGTTGTATTCCTTAAATATAACAACATGCCCATTGTTACGACAAATAACAGTTGCACAATGTTCAAATGAGACGATCTAAGGAGTAAAGACAAAGAAACAGTGTCTGTGAGCCAATTCGGATGGTTTTGAAGGTCGNAAAAATGTGTTTGTCACTAAGTAACTTAAAGTTGAAACAGCCTTTGGAGGGAATAAGACAATAAAGACAATTGTTTCCCCGTTGAAAAACACACTTTTCTGTTTATACACGTGGTGATATAAAAGATTTCTTTAATAAAACTATTATTGAAGTATCACCTGAATTTGTGAGCTTGATTCTCTTGGTGTCTGAAATCATAAAATATCAAAAGTTAAACTTTAAGGAATATAATTAAAGCAAATATAATATCAGATTGAATCACTTGCAGTAAACATCATAATTCTCTGCATAAGAAGGGAGTCAGAACATGTAATATTAACAACTGGAACCGTGTTTCAGTTTTTTAATTTTATGTTTTAATTCAAGGTAATTGACACCATCTCAAAATAAACAGCTTTGCAATGGAAATATCTCCAGATGAAATGCTGGTAATGAATTTGGGATTTGGGCTAAAGGTGGCACCTGGGAATATGTCTACTCCAACATGTGACAACGCTTAATCTTTAGAAAGACCAGCAAACCATTGGGATTTAGTCAGAAATTAAAGTCGTCAAACACATCCAGTTGGTTGACGTTATTATATATTCTCCTGTAGGGTGACAGGAATCTTCGTATTTGTTTTCCGTCGTGATTGCAAAGCATGCCCAAATTATTTTGTAACTTTGTTTAAATTTGCTTGCTCAGAGCTCTCTGCTCTACAACTATACAAAGACATTAATTGATTTTCTATTGGTTTTCAAGTTGCGGTGAAAACGTGATATTCTGATATAGCAATGTATAACATTTTATTTTGGGGTTTATTGGCAGTTTTTCATATGCAAAAGGCAGATGATTCAACCTGCAAATTCCAAGGCAAAGTTAAATTACCCGAATTATCTAAAGATGGGGATGTAATTCTTGGAGGAATTTTCAATGTACATTTGAACAGCTTTCACCAGATTCATTCATTTACAGGTCAACCCGTGGAAACGACGTGCAGCAGGTTAGTTTAACCTTATGTCTAAATGTAAGTTTGACTTTTTGTAACAAGCTGTGTTAGATTTACTGCTGATAATAGAAACATGGACACGGATATTTCTCTCTCTCTCTCTCTCTCTGTCTCTCTTATCTCCTGTGTTATATTCTGAGTTACAATACCTGCAGTGTTTATTTTAAAATATTCTATGGAAAGGTGGGTGAGAAATTTATTGTCAATTTCAATTGCTTTCTTTCTGGTGATAGAAGGGCTGTTTCTCAACGACGTGATAAGGCGCTGTATCAAAAGCCGATTAAGTATCATACCAGTATATCCCATCTTTTTAAGATCTACAGAAAACTGTTCATAAATTAACTGAATTTATGACAATTCTGCACGATTTTAAATGTTGAGACACTCATCTAAGGCTAAACCATGGCACTGGTAGGAATTTCGCCCCTGTGGTACAAACTGTTACTTATGTAAGGAAACAAAAAATTATTTTTATTCCACAGTTTTGATTTAGAGGTCTTTCGCCTTGTCCAGACCATGATTTTTGCAATAGAAGAAATTAACCAAAACCCTGTCCTCCTTCCGAACGTTACACTGGGCTACAAAATTCATGACAATTGCGCTTCTTCTGCTCTTGCAACGAAGATAGCCCTGTCGCTTGTCAATGGGCCAAGAGAAATGGAACCCATTCAGACTTGTAGTCAACGTTACACGAAGAGCGTCGCTGCTTTCATTGGTTGTACCAGATCCTCGGAGTCTGTGGACATTGCAAGAACTATCGGGCCCTTTAGGATACCCATGGTAAGGTGGCGCCTCTGGAAATATTTTCACCTCCTATGTGACAGAGGTGCCACAAAGATAATTTGATTATTTATAATTCTGTTTTAAATCCCCAGTCTGAAAATACAATAAATAATATGCGATTTGACCAGTTACGATATATTTCAGTCTACATCAGTTAGTCAATGTTTGCTAGAATTTAAACTTAAATGTAAACCAATGTTTACATGATTAGCATGTTTGAATAACTAAATACACATTTCAACAATATGCCCATTTTTCAATGTCTTCTTTTCGTTCTATCCTTTGGTTTATTTTGGGTAGAAATTGTTTCTGTGCTCCTTTAATTGCAGGTTAGTTACTACTCCACTTGCGCATGCCTCAGTAAAAGGCAAGAATACCCTTCCTTTTTTAGAACAATACCGAGCGATCAATATCAGTCCAAATTGCTAGCTCAGCTTGTTGAGACGTTCGGATGGACTTGGATTGGAACAATAAGAAGCAGTGATGAATATGGTATATTCGGCATGCAAGCATTTACGGAAACTGTCGAAAAGCTTGGAATTTGCATTGCTTTCTCTGAGTCTCTTCACAGAACTGATGGCGGAGACAAGATAAGACGAATTGTAGAGGTGATTAAAAAGGCAACCACGAAGGTTATTGTGGCATTTTCTTCGTCATTAGAAATGGAAATATTGGTTAAGGAAGTTGTACGCCAAAATGTTACTGGCATTCAGTGGATAGGAAGTGAAGCGTGGGTTTTATCAGACTTGCTCGCTCCAGAGGAAAGTGCTATATTTCTCCGCGGCACAATAGGTCCTATGGTTCGTAAGACACAAATAAGAGGCCTGCGAGATTTCCTTATGGATGTTCATCCTTCCATGTATCCTGGTAACTTGTTAGTAAACGAGTTTTGGGAAACGCAGTTTGGGTGCAAACTCATGTTAGAAAATGGTACAGATCAGTCTGATACCACATCTGTATTCCCTCTGCACTGTACGGGGGAAGAAAACCTCAATCAAACACATAATTCATATTCTGACTTAACTCTAGATGGGAGTTCTTACAATGTATACAAAGCGGTATATGCCGTCGCCCACGCCCTTCATAACATGTTCTCATGCAAAGACAAGGAAGGACCATTTAAAAATAACACCTGCGCTCACACCCTAGATTTCAAACCGTGGCAGGTAAAGAAACTTATTTTATTAAATCTCTTATTGTTCTCATGTGGTTTCCTATAAATGGAACGTTTCAAATAATTAATTTGATGTGTTCTGTCTTCTCAACAGATCTAGTTTATTTTCATAATTTCACGATTATTTTAGAGTAGAACTGGAGAAAACAAACCTTGACTTTATAAAATCTGTGTGGAACCTTTACCCAGGCTAAAGGCTTGATCATTTCCTCTCTCTGTTGCATGTAATGGGGATACAGAGATAAATTTGGTTAATTGCAACAAAATTCTTAGTAGGTTTGCGATGCCAGTCTAACATTTAAGAACTCCTGATATCTTGACGTCTATGGATTGTTCAATCCAACAAACAAATTGCATGTCTTCCTGTCTACCAGCTTTTCTAATCATCAGTTTCCTGTATACATGTGAAAATTAATTTACCATGGTCTGTTTTGATTGTTGGCAGTTGCTTCATTATATGCATTCAGTACAATTCACCACTAAGAGTCAGGATAAAATATATTTTGATGAAAATGGAGATCCAGTTGCTTCATATGACTTGGTCAATTGGCAAACTAATGCTCAAGGACTTAAAGAGATCACGACAATTGGCTATTATGATGGATCTGCCCCTTCAGGAAAAGAACTGGTGCTGAATAAAGAGGCTATTATATGGAATGAAGGCCAGAGAAAGGTACTCCTCACACTTTATATGGCGCCCTTCACGAAGGGAGGACGTCTAACCATGCTTACACGTGTTTAATGTACAATGGAGTGATTGAATTCAGTAGCCAATTTCAATATTTTCTCTCTTCGTTCAGTCGTCTCTTGTTTGTTCTCTATCTATATCTTCAACACTTGTTATTATTTTAAATGCTTTAATCAGATCACCTTTAAATTCCTCAATCTCCTAGATATTGTAATAAATTTCACTCAACTACAATCAAATCATTTGATTCCAGTTATGCTGCATTACAGGACATATCCCGCAAAATCGTTAACGTCCTCCCGAAGGACGGGGGCTCAACACTGAACAGAATATCCAAAAATATTTAACCTTATTTTAATTTTAAAGGTGTGCTTTTGTAGTTCTTAATATAATTTGCGGAAACACCGGCTTCAAAATTAAAGCTGTTATTTAAGAATTTGCTCAATTCTGCAATCTGAAACGCGACGTTAAAAGAATAAGTTTAGATCCAGATGGGAATTTTATTCCCTTTGTATTTTAATTTATACCCTTTAGCATGAGAATGTGCTAAACTAATGTTCCTTTTTTCGATGTGTTGATCATTTCAAGTATATTGAATCCAAGTATTTGTGTTTCAATTCTCCACCAAAGGTCCCACGTGCTGTTTGTTCTGAAAGCTGTCCGGCGGGAACACGGAAAGTATCCAGAAAAGGAGAACCAATTTGCTGCTTTGACTGCACACCTTGTGCTGAAGGAGAGATTAGTAACAATACAGGTGTATAAGACAATTCGAACCTTTCAATTAAAACGTGTGTATCACTTTTGAGAATGATGTTCGCATTAACTTTCTGTTGAATTTCTCTTTGTTTTAGATTCCATAGATTGCGTTAAGTGCTCCTTGGAATATTGGTCCAACCAGCAAAAGGATCGGTGTGTCTCCAAAGGAATCGAGTTCCTCTCCTTTGCCGACACCTTGGGGATTGTGCTTGTGACATTAGCGTTAGTTGGAGTCTGCACAACGGCTGCTGTAGCTGTTGTATTCCTTCAATACAAACACACCCCAATTGTTAAGGCAAATAATTCCGAACTAAGTTTCCTTCTTCTTTTTGCCTTGGCACTTTGTTTTCTCTCTTCCCTTACGTTTATTGGACAACCATCAGTCTGGTCTTGTATGTTGCGTCGTACAGCCTTCAGCATTAGCTTTGTTTTGTGCATTTCTTGTATTTTGGGCAAAACCATCATTGTTGTTCTAGCATTCAAAGCAACACTTCCCAGCAATAACGTAATGAAGTGGTTTGGTCACACACAACAACGGTTAAGCGTGTTAATCCTCACATCTATTCAATTTGCAATCTGCGTTCTCTGGTTAACTATATTACCGCCGTTTCCACTGAAAAATTCAACACACTATAGGGATGTTATTATTTTGGAGTGTGATTCCGGGTCGAGAACAGCGTTTTATTGTGTGTCGGGCTACATTGCTATCCTGTCTTGCATCTGCTTTGTTCTTGCGTTTCTAGCCCGAAAATTACCGGATAATTTCAATGAGGCCAAGTTTATAACTTTTAGTATGCTAATCTTCTGTGCTGTTTGGATAACTTACATTCCAGCGTCAGTCAGTTCCCCTGGAAAATACAGTACAGCTGTAGAAGTGTTTGCAATTCTATCATCGAGCTTTGGCTTACTTGTCTCTATATTTACACCCAAATTTTACATCATCTTGCTGAAACCAGAAACCAACACAAAGAAACATTTGATGAGTAAAAACGCTGAAACAAAGATAAAATAATATTGAGTATATATCAACCGTTTTCAAAATGCAGTTTTTGCTCGAGTTCTCTTAACTAGTTTGCCAACTGTAGACTATGACATAATAAGTAGTGGATTCTCCATCAATGGATGTGTGATGACTTTATCTTCATAAATATATTGCAATGAATTGTATAGTTTGTACCCCAATAATAATGTCACCTGTAATAAAATGATTTAAAAACTGAAATACGATGAAATTCTAAAATCATTATGGATACAGATAATGTGTAACAACTTTATTTATAACAACTTGTATTTATGTGCATGTTAGCGCGTTTTCCCAGCTTTTAGTGTGCGATTTTGTGTGCTGTGCTCACCTATTTTGTGCAGCAAACTACAGCCCGCAGTAAATGAATGCCTAAAACTTATAGGTTTCCATAAGATCACCTCTGATTCTTCTATATTCTGAAGAATCTAGGCCTAGTTTACTCAATATATCCTCATAGATCAACCCCCTCATCCCAAGAACCAACCTACTGAATCTACGCTGCACCTCCTCTAAAGCGAGTATGTCCTTTCTTAAATAAGGAGACCAAAGCTGCACACAATATTCTAGGTGCGGTCTCACCAAGGTCTCATATAACTTCAGCAAGACTTCCCTACTCTTGCACTCTAAACCTTTTTGTAACGAACGCCAACATGGCATTAGCCTTCCTAGATGCTTGCTGTACCTGCATACTAATTTTTTGTGACTGGTGTACAAGGACACCCAAATCCCTCTGAACATTAACAGTACCTAGTCTCTCCCCCTCTAGAAAATAATCTGCTTTTCTATTTTTACTACCCAGGCGAATAACTTCACACTTCCCCACGTTACAGTCCATCTGCCACTTCTTGCCCACTCACCAAGCCTGTCTATTTCCCTTTGCATTATTTGTGTGTCATCCTCACAGCTTACTCTCGCACCTATCTTCGTATTGTCCGCAAATTTAGATATATTAAGTTCTATTTCCTCATCTAAATCATTGATATAGACTATAAATAATTGATGCCCAAGCACTGATCCTTGTGGTACTGCACTAGTCACATCCTGCCAATCTGAGAAGGATCCGTTTATCCCTATTCTCTGTTTTCTTCCTGTTAGCCATTAGCATGGATTGGAGAGTGGCTAACTCAATCTCACTAGTCAGGAACCTGGGTGTCTTCTTTGATCCTGAACTGTCCTTTCTCACCCACATCCGCGCCATGACCGGCACTGCGTACCACACCTCCGCAACATTACCAGACTCTACCACTGCCTCACCCCTCAGGCTGCCAAAACCTCACCCACACATTTGTCACATCAAGGCTCGATTATGGAAACTCCCTCCTCGTCTGGCTTCACAACTCTTCCCTTCACAAGCTGCAGATCATCCATAACTCTGTAGGTCGTGCATCAGGCTCCGTGATCCCATCGCTCCCACCCTCGCCCAACTCCACTGGCTCCCCATCCCTCAGAGGATCGAATTCAAGATCCTCGTCCTCACTTTCAAGGCCATCCATGGCTTTGCCCCCTCCTACCTCTCTGACTTGCTGACTCCATACCAACCTGCCCGCTCCCTCCATTCATCAGGCTCCGGCCTGCTCCATGTCTCCCACCCTACCATCGGTGGCCAGGCTTTCAGCCTCTCTGCCTCCACACTCTGGAACTCCATTCCACAGCCTCCTTCAAGGCTTATCTGAAGACCCTTCTCTTCAATCGTGCCTTCAGTCGCCCTCCCACCTCTCTGCCTTCTCTCTCCCCTACCCCACCCCTCCCCCATGTTTGGGTCCTGACCCGACTGTCCAGCGTCTTGGGACGTCCTCCCGACATGAAAGGGGCTCTATGAAAGTAATTTTGTTGTTGTTGTAATATATTGCCTTTAATTCCATGGGCTCTTGTTGAATGCTTTCTGGAATTCCAAATCCAAATGTCGAATGCCTACTGGTTCCCCTTATGTAACCAGCTAGTTACATCCTCAAAAAAACTCTGTAAGATTTGTTAAACATGATTTCACTTTCGTAAAGCCATGTTGACTCTGCCCGATCATGCTATGATTTTCGAAGTACCCCATGATGACGTCCCTAATTAAGGACTCTAGAATTTTCCCTACCAATGGTGTCAGACGAACTGGTCTATAGTTCCCCACCCTTATTAAATATCAGCGTTATGTTTGCTACCCTCCAATCACTGGGAACCCTTCCAGAATCCAGGGAATTTTGGAAGATCAAAAACAAAGCATTCACTATCTCTGCAGCCACCTTTTTTAAAACCCTAGGATGCAAACCATCAGTCCAGGGGATTTATCATTTTTTAATCCTATCAAATTCTCTAGTACTATTGCTTTACTAATGTTCATTTCTTTAAGTTCTTCACTAACATTAGCCTCCAGGTTCCCCCCTATTTTGGGTAAGTTTTCAGTGTCCTCTAATGTGAAGACAGAAGCAAAAAAATTGTTTAATGACTCTGCCATTTCTTTATTCCTCATTATTTCTCCTGTCTCTGCCTGCAATGGACCCACATTTACTTTTGATAGCCTCTTCCCCTTTATGTGCTTGTAAAAACTCTTACAATCTGTCTTTATGTTCCTAGCTAGTTTACTCTCATATTCTATTTTCTCAGTCTTAATCAGTTTCTTGGTTTTCCTTTGCTGATCTCTAAATCCTCAGGTTTACTGCTCTTTTTGGCAGTATTAAAGGCCTCTTCTTTTAATTTTATACTTTCCCTAACTTCTCTGGTTAGCGAAGATTGAACCACTTTTCCCGTGGTTTTTTTTATTTTTAAGGGAATATGTGATCGCTGGGAATTATGTATCATATCTTTAAACGTTTGCCATTACTGGTCTACAGTCATATTTTTTAATCTAATTTCCCAGTCTATTTTAGCCAAATCTTTTCTCATACCTGCAAAGTTGGCTTTATTTAGGTTTAGACCCTTGCTTCAGATTCATCTATATCACTCTCCAACTTAATATTAAATTCCATCATGTTATGGTCACTCTGTCTCGAGGAGCCTTAACTTCCAGATTGCTGATTAGCCCTATTTCATTACACAAAATTATTTCAAGAAAAAATAATAAATTGGTCACTCAGTCTACGACTGTTTGTGGGACATTGACATCCGACATAACATACAAAAAGGAAAGTCAGCCCGACGGAGAGAATTGACAGAACAATGCATGTTTACGACTGATGAGGGAATCCTGCTCAGAGAGGCTATAAGCAGTTTAAAATAATGTGGGGGAACACAAAGAGGAATGAAGAGAAGGAAGTCATGTTGGTGCTCAAGAGTATGGGGATTCAGTTGCAAAAAAATGTACACAACTTGGAAAGCAAACCAAAAGGTATGGAAAATGTTCCATTGCCCAGTAAATAGTTGATGAGCAAAAACAGAACACACACAGATGTTTCTTCTTAAATAAAGAGGAAGTCATTGACTATATTAAATTTAATAAGAGAATTAGACACTAAGCAACCTTAAAAAAGATACAAGTACCAAATTATGGATTACAGGTTTGGGAAGCTTATTCATATGACACAACTCACTAATCTATAGATGAAATTAAATGATGTATAAAATGGCTACAAGCTGAATGAACCAATAAAAAGCTTTCTTTCGTATTAAATGTTTTTTTTAGCTCAAATAATAAGCAGCTGCAGTACCATCATTACTTGCAGGAACATTTAAGTCAGAAAATCCAAAAAGGTCTTCTGAATTTCTCCCTATTTTGGACTTTTGTACATTTGTACAAAACAAACTAGCTGCTACAGTTATTCTACAAGTTTTAATCATGGTGCTTCAGACTGTACTGTTGGTCATGCAGTTTCATCCGAAATTGTTTTGGTTTCTGACAATTTGACCATGGTTTAAATATGGAATCTTACAAAGGTGAACGTACAAAAAAAATTAAAACCATCTGTTACATGCACAAATTCAATTATCACCATATCAGTTTGGTATGCTGCTTATACAGGATTGTGGAAAATAAATACAACAGGCATTTACATTACAATAGCTAGGTACTGTACATCTGTAAATATTTTATGCTTGCCACTTTGCAAATATATTGACAAATAATAGAAAAACTGCATTGATTTCATGAGGTAAATACTGGAAAATGTCCATATATATATAATGCATTGTGGGCAATTACAACACAGGAAATTTCTTTGGGTTAGGTGTTAACACAAATATTCAAGGTTTTCAGTGGTACTTCATAACACCACATAGTGTCCAACATGAATTGTTTTCATTTAACCCTCTGAGTATGTATGCCCTTTTTAGTTTCTCAAGTCCATACAGTCAAATCTACTTATATACAATTTGATCTAAGATAATCCCAAATATAAGCAAAAGTTTACTAAGTTCCAAGTCTTTCTTGAATTAGACTGTATTGGTTTAGTAAGTCTCATTATTTACAATATAGTCATAAGCAATGCAGTCCATCCTGACTTATTGCATACAATAATTCTACTATACATTTTATCATATTGTACCTGTAGAAAGCTTCTGTAAATTTTAAAAGTGGATTATAAAATATAACCACAGAAATCTAAGCATTGAACTGCTCTTATTTCACAGTACTGTATTTTTTAAAGAATTGCTGTTTTGCAGATTTAATTTTGCTGCAGAAATTTAACAGCAGTCCTCAAAGGGTTGAACAGGTGGGGTAAGGTAACATATCTCTCAATCAACAAGCATTATCAATGAAAATATATGATCACTGAAGATATTGCAAATCTTCAGTTTACATCTTTTGTTCACAATGCACATTAATGGTTTCTAGTTACAGTGGTTTAGGGGTTAACATACACTAGTACAAAACACTGCAATACCTGACCTCAGACATTGGTTCTGCCTCCACCACCATCAACCAAAGAATTTCAACTTTAAATAAATCCCAGACCATTGCACTAACCAAAAAGTGCTGCAAAGTTAGGACAAATGGGAAATGATTTTTTAACCAAAAATTCAATGTGCAATGGAAAATTATTTTGCCTAAACTATACCATAATGTGTGGTAAGCAAAACAGCTGGTATAATATGACCATCTTCAGCAGGATTCAGATACATTACCCTGGTTTACTGTAAATTGTGACTTTCTTAAAATGATTTTTAAAAAAAAGCACATTTGGGTTAGGAAAACATTGTAAGCCTTTTGAGGCCAATGTGCGTGCAAGAAGTTCATAAGGTAATTGTGACAAGATATTACAACCCATAAGCACATTTCTAGTTATGTTATTGCAAATTGGTCTTTTTTGCTGTCGGTTCAAATCTATTTTTATATGGGGATGTTTATTATCACTGCCTTTCAATGATTTATTATCTGGGTTGCAAGTGGTTGTAAGAGGATTCTTAAACCGCAATATTTTCTTGAATACGTGGACAAGATTTTTTTTTGGTCAGTCGCGTGTCTGACACCTGCAGAAACCCATCACTGTGTTTAAGATTATCCAAACCAAGCTGAGATTTCCATACATCCCACCTATACATGGAAATCCCAGAGATAGATTGGAATGCACACTCTCTGCCTGGAGGGACTCATCCTGCTTACCCAATTCCGCAAAGCATTAGGTGCAGGTTGGCAAACTCTTGAAAGTCACAAAATTATTCCAGTGATAGCAAAAGGGATCATTTATTGTCTAAGTACACCATAGTTCTGAGGGCCCCTGATGACAATGTTAGAACTCATTCATATCTAAGTATCCTATGGATGGTAGGAATTCCAATAATACACTACAGATAGAATTATATTATGATTAAATCAGACAACTAATCAATAAAAATATATTATTTCAGCATTAATATCTGTAAGTGAAAATGCTACATAACAATATTAAAGAAAATATAGATTATCGCTTTAGTAATCTTTTCTTTACTATGGTTTCTTGATGCCAACAATTAACTCAGAAAACTGAAGATAGGAATCTAAATAAATCTATGTCAATAAGGAATACCTTTCAGAAATCTGTAGTTAACCATAGGGAATTATAGCACTTCATGAAGCAGACAAATTTTATTTTAAATAATCTTATCTGGAACAGATCTGCTGATGTTGATTTCAAAATTTACTCTACTCTTTCATAACTGCAGGTTTACAAAGAGCACAACTCTAACTGGCTAACTAATTGGCCTTGCCAGAATGCACGTTGTGATATTATGGGAGTAACAGGTATCGTAGACTAATAACAAGAGTAATATGTACATTAAAACAAGGCTTTAAAACATGCCATTTATATGGAATGCAGCATACAAACTATTTTAATCACAGATAAATGGCCACACAAATCTAATCACTTCAGATAAAATGCAATGCTGATGAGTTACTATCCCAACTTGGATTGAATAAAATCTTGGCTAGTATATACAAATGTTTGTCATGCTACTAAAGGTTTAGCTATTTTAATTCAGAACTAGATTATTGCATACATTTTCCTTTGTGAATTTGAATAAACACAACTATTTATAGGCGACGACAGTTTAAAGGATAAAACCCTAATTAAAATAGCAGGGCTGTTAAAAACAAAATATAAAGTTTTTGTTTAAACAAATACAGAACATTTTACCAATGGTAGTGAGATTTCATGGTACGTTATTGTTTTGTTGTATCAAGGGCTTTAGTTTTTTTTGCTTGAAACAGTTTTAATTATTCGCTTTAATTCACCCCATCACAAATAACTGATTTCAAGGAACACACCTTGAAGATTTCAATTGACACATTTGAGAGGAAACTTGATGCATATATGAGGGAGAAGGGACTGGGGGTATAGGAGAGAGGATTAGGAGGGGTCGAGGCTCATGTGTACTATAAACCCCCAGGCACAGATATATTGGTTCAAATGGTCAGTTTCCATCCTGTAACATTCTCTTTCAGACCTCATCTGGAATATAGTGCTCATGTTGGACGCCACACTTTAAGGATGTACTGACATTTGAGCATACAAGATGATAATTAAGTGATATGATTTAAGTCTTTAAAATAATTAAGGGAATTTACATGATAGATAAGGAACTAGCAGAAAAATTCAGGGGACATAATCTTAAAATTAAGAGCTAAGTGGTTAAAATATATCCAGAATACATGTTGACACACAAAGTGATGTGATAAGGCATACCAGAAACAGGCCATAGAAACAGAATCAATTAATGTATTTTGAGAGAGAAGGTATGAACTTGGAAAATAAAGATGTTGAGACATAGAGAAAAGGTGGAGAAATGGAATTCAGAAGAGCTGCCATGAGTGTGGCAGAGTCGAATAGCCTACTCCTGCATAATACAGAATGAGAGTAGTTCTTGCTGAAATGTTTGTCCAATTAGTAGTTATAATTAACCCTAGTTTAAGAAAATTAAAATAATTATCATTGTCAGGGCCACAGAAACACTGTTCATTCCCACGTGACAATTTTATTGTCAAGGGCTCTGAGTTGGATAGATCAAATAGCACATCCTATTTGTATTAGCTGTGGGGCTGAAATAAAACATACAGAACAAAATCACAAAACCATATCATGTGAGGATTAGGCAATGGGTACCAGGGCTTATTTCTATCCCAACAAAATATACATAGTAAACTTATTAAAAAGCAACTTAGTCTAACTCCAAAAAAGGAAACATTTATGACTTGTCCTTTTAGGAATTATTTTATGAACATTCACAATGTTCTATGATTTTTAAAAAATAAGTGCAAAATGAATAAATGAAATAAAAGGAAGAGCAAGGCTGTGAAATGAAAATTAGGATGTAAAACGTGTCACAACAGGTTTAAAGGATTAGCTCAAATCCCCCATAGCCATCTGCATGTTAATGAATTCATGGAAATAATGTTGACAGTGCTAATATATTCATGGAGGAAATTTAAAAGCCCAGCTAAGTACAGTATGAGAGTTGGGTGCATCCACATATTAACTGCAGGGCTAAAGCTAGACAAATATACAATATGAGATAAGTTTGATTATGACAAAGGCATACATGATGGGAGTAATACTCCTTTCTACCCCCATCTCATTCAATAGATGAATCTATGTAATACCATTGCTTGGAGAGGGGGTCAGAAGGGAAACTGAAGGTTGATAGGATCGAGATTTCATTGTAGGAAAGTATTACAATGTTTTCCAGCTGGATATGAATAACATTCAATTATGAAATCCTTATTCACATCTTTAGGTTGGCAAGTGATGTAAGCATTTGGGATGTGAAGTGAGTACATCTATTGAAAAAGGTTCTCTCTCTAACCACTCAATGGTAAATGTAGAGCTTTGAAAAACATAATTGAGAGAACAATAAAAAGTATAACCATTTTCAGTGTTTTGCTTGTATCCCCTCCCTCCTCCACCACATCACTGTAAAATTCTTGCATTTCACACCATCATCAAAATCATCTGCGCATCAGTTCCCTTGGCTCAAAACTATTTGCTTCTTCACTTTGTGAGCAATGAAATTTATATCATAATCACTAGTTCTCTGATCAGTGGTAGGTATAACAGAGTTCACATTTTTACACTGCATTTGCTCATATTATTTTAAAATGCATACTTGCTTTGCAAATTGTCTCAATTTCCGTCCTAATGGGAGATCTGTAACACCCCAATTTGTAAAAGACAAATCGATGTTGGTTTTCACTAAGTTACAGCTAGTGAGATTCTTCCAAACATATAAATCAATAAAAAGCAACAAACTCAAGCAACAGAAGACTGCTGGATAGACTTCTGCTGAACCCGATTTTAACCTAACACAAAAACCTAAAAGCAAAACTAAAAAAAAGCAAAAGTACAACTAATTGAATTGGACTCAAAATAATTGAATTCAACTTGGTAAGTTACTGAGGTAGCAAATCCATATTGATGGACATTATAAGCAACAATAAGTTTGTCATCATGTGTCATTTTCTAAACTAAAAGGAGAAGTCTGAGAAGGGCATCTAATTGTAAGAATTATGCAAATTTGATAAACCAAGACATTGAGGTGATTAATTAGTGTTCAATTACTACATATGTTCATATTGTTATTAGATGCAATGAAGGTATCCAGCATGATTCGTTCAAACAGAAATTCACAGGTAGATAAGAGGAACTCACTCATAAAATTTGCTGAAAATGTAATAGAATTAACATTATTGAGGTAAATCCACAATGCTTACAGAAGTGTTAATTGGATATGTGGCGTCTTCTCACCCTGTTGAAAAAGGATATCAAAACTTGGAGGAATGCTATGAAATGTGGATAGTAATAAAGCATTTTTAAATTAGTACGGCTGTGATCTGCATAGAGTTTAGATCCTACTTCTATTTTTGTGATGGGGTGAATTAAAGTGAATAATTAAAACTGTTTCAAGCAAAAAAAACTAAAGCCCTTGATACAAAACAATAACGTGAAATACATGATAGGATTCCTTTCAATGATTTATGAATCACAGTTGCTAGCAAGGATACAAATACTGCTGATGAGAGGGGAGTGGGGAACAAGTGCCTTAAACAGTCCACAAACCAATGTGAATGTGTATTGTGCTTTTGGAAATCTATTGTACTTTAGGTACAATGGTTTTAACCCTCTGTCTCCTACCTTACTTTGCCAGAAAAATATTCTCTTTTAAAGGGCCTTTTGATAAGAAATAAGAGGTCAATTTATAGCATCATACTTCTTTTTAAAAAAATATGGTAACTGTAGGAGGATGGATAGCTGAAGCTGCATTATGCACTTCACGTTTGTAACTCATCTTTAAGATTAACTAAATTTAATGTTAATTTAAATTCAATTTAAAACCTAATAAAATACCTGAAATGCTGACCTTACTATTAATCTAAACTGCTATTTATCTTTAAATTTAGTCACATCTCAGATTTGAAGAGTCCTTAGCCACACATTACAGCTGCCCAAAAAAGACAACAGCAGATTTTATAGCTACTAGCTAATTCGCTAGTAGATAGTGTTAACTTGAAATGCTGGTGTTAGATGATTTAAGGAATAAATAGGTTCTATATACACAAAAGGCAGTTCGCGATGTTGTAGAAACCGTTTGAAATAGTTACATAAAATGTCTGATGGTCAGAGGTATTTATTATGCCAGGCAAAGTTAATCTTTACTTTCTCATCAAGAGATTTTGTAAAAAATATACACAGAGTCTGGGAAGTAACAGAACAAACACCAAAACTAGGCTCTAGAAGTATGAGTAAATGACAAGCCCTACATAAGCACATGTATAGTGGCTTTATAACTTGAATTGATAGATCTCACATCCTTCACTGCTGCAGGGCTGCTAGAGCTATTGTGATCAACTTAATATATAAATATAAAAATGGAAATCAAATCAAAAGAAATTTAAATAAAAACTATTTAAGTTTCATCAAGCCTGCCCCCTGTATGCACAGTATTCATGTGTGATATAATACTGGGTCTGAGTGGCGACAGAACCAGAGAGCCTCCAGATCTGTGTCATAGTAGCAGCAGAAGGTACAGGCACCAGTGGAAGTGGCAGGTATGTAACTAACACAAAGCTCTCGTGTTATGAAGTTTTACAAATAAATGCCCCCTTTTCTGCATGTACATATCTCATTAAATTTACATGAATGTCCTGAAAGACAAGGTTGTACTGCCAGAGAAAGGCCAGTGCACCCATAACAGCAGCAGATTAAATGTGCCAATTACAAGCAATCTAGTTGCATGTTTTGGTTTTTGTTGTCAGCACATTGATTACGTCAAAGTTGGGGCTGAATTGCAAATCAAAGATTTGTTTAAAATAATTTATGACAGAGGGCATTTGGAGAATACAATGTTGTTTATGCTCAGTTAAGATTGCAAGAACAATCTTTACATTTTATATGGTTTAATCAGAACTTGGACAAAACGTAATTAAGTGTTTATGTCAAAATTTGAGGCATTGTCAAATTATTTGACAGAAAATAATGTTTGAGGATCATAATTGTGCCTTAAAACTTGTGCTTTGGAACTACAACATTTCTAACAGTGTGAATATATTTTCTCTGATATATTACATATCATCCCGTGCTAGCTCTAATTCTTTAGAACCCAAAGCCAAAGCTATAATCCTACTCTTTGTAAGGAAAACAGCAGAGGTCAGAAACGAGGCGTAGAACATTACTAGGAATATGCATAAATCCAGGCATGACCTTTAAGGCTACTTGACCTATTATACAGTACAACGTAAATTTTGTGCACATTTGGGTGCAACTTAGAGTAAATTGGTTTCTTCGAGATACCTAATAAGACCATCATTCCTGATGTTTGCAACAAAAGTCGTCCTTAAAGCAACGGAAAGGAAAAAGAAAACAGATTATGTTTGCCTGGCATTACATGCATATAACTGCGCAAAAGTCATTACCAAATAACATTTTTCCCATGCTATGCCATTGTATTGAAGATATATAATATATACATTGTAATAAACAAAATTCAATAAGTTGTAGCTAGATTTCTACTTTTTGCTTTAAAATGGATTAGTTGCAAATAATTCCACAATGTCCAACTCAACTGTTCTCCATTGCACTGCATTCTTGCAGATATGAATCCAAGTCCTGTTAATCTTCCTATTATAGCAATGTCATATGTACTTCACAACAAACGCCAGGTGACTTGGAACAAACTTTGTTGTCATTCCAATATAGCGTTCACCTCCAATCCACCTTTATTTTCCGACGTTTCTAAAATCTGAAGCTTTAGTTCTTTCACCATGGCTTCCAATTTTTCCCTTGCTTCACGCTCACATCTCAATTCTTCTTGAAGTTCTCTGCGATCTGCCTCAGCTCGATCTAGCCTTTGTCTTAACTCAGCCAACTGTACAATCAATAAGGGGGAAGGGGAGACAAAAAACACAAGTTAAAACTGCCCTGCATTTGATATATCCATTTCACGACCAATTTTATTTGATTAAACCATTACGGCAAGGAATATAAAAATAAAGTTTGTAATCGACATGTTAGCTGCTCATATCAAAATTAAAAGTGATACACTAAACTTTGAATTTTTTTTAGAGACAGCCATCTCACATACTTGGGCGGCTACAATCAAACATGCAGGGTTCTGTTTGTCTAATGAAACAGTCAGCACACCCAGTAGTAATTCCTTGAAGCACTTGAGGCATTTCAATGCACATTCTTTTGTTTTATTTTGAGATAGTCCTTAATTTGTTTAAAATTCTATCACAAATAGCAGCTGCATCCAAAGCAAATATTGCTTACCTGTGCAGTGTACTCAGCCTCTTGGCTCCTCCCCAATGTATGGTCACACATGCAGCCTTGCTTCAGTTGTTCCAGTCGAAACTCTAGCTCCACTTGTTCATCTTGGACTTCATTCATTTTCTGAGCATGCTCAGACTGCAGAGACTTCAGCTCCTGCTGTAACCCAAATTTCTCCTCAGTCAGTTCTTTCAGTTTCATGCTCTTTGTTACTTGTAATAATTCTACCTCCTGAACAGAAAAGCAATTATTTCAATCACTAATCTATTGTAGATTTTTAAGACTTTTTAAAAAAAAAAACACTTAATTGCATCTATTGGGTCTTATATTCATTTATTTAGTAGTCTTGTTGTAAACTCACATTTACAGTTGAATATGGTAGTTTAATCAATAGACTTTGATCTCCATAATGAACAAATGTTTATGATAGTTGTAAAAGCCTTGCTGGCTGATGTATCTAGCAATAATTAGAACACTGCGCATGTTGCAAAAAAAAATTTAGTAATTTAAAAAACAATCATTACAGCAGATCAAGGTTCCCAGACAAGTACCTTTAATTTGACACACAACTCCTCCCTTTCTCTCAATCACATTTATTGGACATGATCATGACATATAAGATTATAGAGATTTTTAAATTATGAGGGATTATGTTAGAGTAGGTGGGCAGAAATGATTTTTACTAGTCGGTGAGTCAGTGACTAGAGGGCATCAATTTAAATTAATTACCAAAAGAGCAAAGAGGGAGATTAGGAGGAATTTTATTTACTCACGGGGTTGGTAGGATGTGAATGCCCTGCTAGGAGCAGTGGTCAAGGTAGAATCCATACCAGCTTTCAAGAGGGAAGTTGACAGATATCTAAAAATGAATAATTTGTAAGGGTATGGGGAAAAGGCAGGTAAATGGAATTGAATGGATTGCTCTTTTAAAAAGACAGCACAGTACACAATGATTCAAATGGCTTTATTCTGTTCTTCTACAATTCTTACTCTCCTGCTATTAGTTCCACAGTAATGTCATGTTCTGTATGTCATTTCATACAGATTTTAAACATTATTCTGTGAACTGTATGAACGAAAACTGAACTGTCAAGTTAATACCAGAAAAGGTATTCTATAGTATACAGTTATGCACAGTTTCACACAGACAGCTTTGTAATAATCCTTTGAGACCCTACTGAAAATCATAATGTCTTTGGAGGAAGTAAAGCTATCCAACAAAACTGAAACAGTATGACAATTACTCGACAATTAATTGATCGAAATGGAATGTGGCATAAGCAAAAGATGGGCAAAATCGCCATCTAGTGGTAATGAAATAAATAACTCAGAAATCTTGTAGACAATGGGGTTAAAATGCAGCATTCACAACAGCATTCAAAAAGGTTTGTAAATATTTAAACCTACAGGTAACTGAATAAATAACACTCTGATCCAAAGCACCCAGAAGAACATCATGTGGAAACCAATGCAGTGAGTCAGCGTGATACGCATTCGATTATTAGAAGAAATTGATATTAAGAATCCTGTTGAAAGTAGTGCCATAATCTGCATGTTCTAACTGGTATATCGGCCTGCAGCATGTCCTCCAACCTGCCTGCTCCACTAGCTTTAGTCGGGTCTTCAACCTTTCTACCCCCATCCTCTGGAACTCCATCCCGGAGCCCCTCCACCTCGCCCCTCCTTTGCCTCCTTCAAGGCCCGTATCAAGACCTTCCTTTACGACCATGCATTCAGTTATCTTCCCTCCTCCATCGCTCTCTGATCCCAACTCGCAGCTCTCGCAGCTTGGGTGCAAACCCCTCACTGTCCAGTGCCTTGGGATGTCCTCCCAACATGAAAGGCGCTACATAAATGCAATTGCTTGTTGTTAAAGAGTGTGCATTGGGGTACAGCTGGAGGTTAACAAGCTAAATGTAGCTTGCAAGATAGCTTGCCATACAGTCTGGCAAGTTTCCCACTGCGTGTCCAGCTAACCAACAACAACAAAATTACATTTATGGAGCGCCTTTCACATCAGGAGGATGTCCCAAGGCACTGGACAGTCAGGAGTCAGCTAAGACCTACCCATTAGGATTAACAGGTACTGAGTGGCTCCCAGTGACTGGTCTACACCTCCAGATCCTGCTGCTGAGCCAGGCTGGTTGGTCTGTTATCAGCATTGCCCTGAAGTAATGCAAACCAGCATGACACAGGAATTGGACAACCAAGACTGCCACGATTCTGACATTCCATTGTGTAATCAGCTCCAAGGAGACCCCAAGTATCTCCCAGTCAAGGAGGATCATCATTATTTGGTCATTTGTTAGCCATTGGCCATTTCCATGGCACAGATTTCTGTTGTTAAAAGTGCATCCTATATACTTTACCATTTGAAGATGTTTTTTCTGCTGAAGTGTGGTATTCAGCTTCTCCTGCTGTTTACAGTAGGTTTTCATGATTTGTTCCACTATTTTTTCATTCTCTTCTTCACAACTCAGCTGATGTGAATTCCTGGCTTCCCTCTCGGTACTTGACAGATTATTGCTCAATTCCATGGCAACATTTTGCATATCTTTCTCTCCAGTATATTCAGCATATTCAGATTTTATGCATTCTTCCAAATTTACAGTACATTGTGGGGCTTGGACGCCTGAAGAAAATTAAGAATTCATAATTTGAATGAATTAGTTACTCATTTATACAATTAACTGCTATTGATTTTCTATTTTTATTTTCAAAATAATCATCAAAATTACGAAAGATTGGTGTAATCACACAACTGCTTGGTGGTGGTGTTCAGGCTGTGACCCTTTAACTGTGGCACAATAAGAATTAAACAAATGAGTATTGTAAGAACAATTGAATATAGAAAAAACTCAACTTTACACTTACAGTAGCATGACACATCCAAATGGAGAAAAAAAAATCTCCAAGTAAAATGTTCATAGGTAAACTTAATTCAACTTGATGCATCACTTTAAAAACATCCACACGTCTACCTTGGTGCTTTCTCTGGATGCCAAGAAAGCCTTCAACCGTGTTGAGTGCAACTTTCTGCTCCCACTGCTTGAGCAGTTGGCATCAGCCAATATGTTCAGACAATGAATTAAATTCTTCTACACCTAAAACTGCAGCAAACAACACAGCCACACATCTCCCCTAAACATCATCTTGAACAAGGTGCTAGACAGGGAATCCTCTTATTTTCACCATGGTCACCGCCATAGCATGTTTCTGCATCCACATTATACAAGCAGGCTGTTTGGAGCACAGAATTGCCTTTTATGCAAACATTATCCTGCTATAAATTTATAACTCTACCACCTCGACCCCAGTACTCTGCAAATCATGCAAGAATATGTGAGTGAATAAGTTGAGAAAAGGCCAGTCAGATATTTTCTGCAGTGCCTCGGGATGTCCTCCTGACGTGAAGGGCACTATATAAATGCAACTGTTGTTGTTGTCGTAGTGCATATTGGAATGCCTGCATCATGCTCACAGTCTATGCTAACACTGCGGATGCACTGAATTGTGAGGGTGCTGTCTTCAGATAAGATGTTAAGTTAAGGTCCCATTATTCAGATGGACCTTCCAGTCCTATGGCACTATTTAAAAATGGAAAGGAGTCTCTTCCAGTGATCTAGATAAAATTGATCATTCAGTTTATGGGTGTTTGTGAGAAACTGCTGTATGAGAATCAGCTGCTGCGTTTGTCTACAAATGCATTCACTACACTTTACAGAAACGTTGTGTAATCTTTGAGATGGTCTCATCATTATGGCTGCTATATCAAATGCATCTATTATTATTTTTGTTATGTTGCACTTACCTGGATTATAGGAGTTTATGTTTAGGATATTTCTCTGCTCCTTTGGAGACAACACAGCACAGGAAATCAATTTCTTATTCACATTTTCCCTCCGATGTTTCACCTCCTCTTCCAGCACAGTGTTTGTGCCCATCATGGATTCTTTATCCACTGTCCTGGTAGCATCTCTACATCGTTGTAAAGGTGGAGCCAATGAGACATTTGGAGCTATAACCTTATCGTACATGTACAGCAGACAGCTGGAGAATTTGAAAACATGGTTTTAGAGAGAATCAGCTATTAACTGGTTTCCCATACAGGCCTGAATTTAATCTTTAGTGGAGTGTTTATTTTAAGTTTTCATTCTCTCACGCCCTCATTTTAATTCTTCAGGCAATATATCGATATAATCAATTTAGTGAATGTTGACTAGGGAACATAATTAGATAAAGAGTTTTAAATAATCTTTTAATAGTAAAATTAGGCTGAGATTAACTTTGCCTCAGTGTATTATGTTAGGTACTACATTTACCCATTGAACCAACAGGGATTTTGCGCTGTATTTCATTTCCACCAGATATCACTTGCAAGCTATACAAATTCACAAGAGGGCACCAGTGATATCAAATATTTTATATCTCAACTGCACTGTCTGGTGCAATTTCCAGTAAATCTGATTTATTTTGAAGTCACAATTGTCATTGGTATTTTGTGGCACCGTATCTAAAATCCTGTGAGGCACTTTGAGACGTCTCGATGATGTGATAAGGCGCCATATTAAATAGGATTATTATTAGCAGCAGCTAATGTTTGCCACCATCTTTTAACAGACATAAAAAATAAGCAGCAGAAAAGCTGTATGTTGTTCCACTACATTTATACCTTGGATGGATAACTGAAGCATGTTGCGGAGTCAGATGATCCACTTCCTGTTTAATAGTTGGGTACCAGTGATGGAATGTCAGACTATGTTGGGAGTCAGACTGCAATTAAGAAACAAAAATGAACAACTCAGATAAGGCAGGTGCAGAGGAAACACTGCATAATTTTCTCACAAAACATTCAGAATCTAATTTGCAATCTGAAACATTTTTCAACGTATTTACCATGAAATAAATCAAAGATCTTCCCAAACTAGAAGCAACTTTCTTCTCATCAAAGGGAGCAGTTGTCTATCAAACTCCACATTGACTTTGTAAAGATTGTCCGATATATTTTGCTGCAGCAAATCTCTTTGTTCAATAAAAGCAATTGGTCAGTGAAAACTAATAACGCAACCATCAGAAACTAAGTGCACTATTTTAGAATGAAATTTAAAATTCCAAAGATTAACATTCCAATGATCCTCGTCTTAATATTCCAATGATGTTTCCCTCATAATGACAGTATGAAGTCTAAAACTCAAAGTTATAACCAGTCTCTTGAGAATTTAAAAGAACATTTGAAACATAACCCTTACTTTACAAAATGTTTTATAAAGCTATTAATCTAAATACATTTTGAATTGGCCAATGTTACCAAAACTTTCTATCATATTTTATGCTGAATATTGTGATGCAGTGGGGTTTATTATGTGATTCAAATTCGAATAAGTTCAAGCCATCTTATTTGCATATTGAAATTAAAAATGTAGGAAGACTTCCTCAATTATAAATACACTTTCAAGAATTTGGTGCATGTAGTTCAAACTGCACAGAACAACACTTTGGCACCATAATTTTTGGTACAATAAATGTAAATCTTCCCTCCCTCTTCTCTCCCGCATCAAAATACATGTTAGAAATTGTTAATCACATTATGTATCTTACAGTACACGTACTTTTCTATCACAGCTCTTCTCCAACATCTCATCCTGGGAGTCCGAATGTACCAATCGTGTTTTCTTCGGCTGAAATTCTTCAGAGACAGACTATAGCAAAAAAGAAAATGAAAGATGTAAGAAGTACACATGCATTTCTTTAAAAAAAATCAAAGAATCAAAAAATAGATGATAATGGACACCATTTATTCCTTAGTTGCACTTGCAAGTAGACTAGTTTTTCATGCTCCAGCAGTGTGACGCCAGGTCATGGGAAGTTATTCGACTTCCAACTTGGATCATGGAATCCAACTACTGGTTAACACATTTGCACTTTACTGCAAGTTTTCTGTTTAGTCAAGCTGGTATCCTTTACTTAATAGTAGTGATTGCAGAAAGCACTATTTGGAAGATGAATAAAAGTACTTTATTGACATTTGAGGCTCTATTTTCATTTCTTGTAAACTGACAATTGAGTAACTGAGTAACGGGTAATCTCCACAAGAGTCGGCGGTTAAAGTGGGGACATACTCTTGTTACTTGTTCAAGATCATAACAATTGCACCTCAACCAATGTCAATTTCAAAAATTAAGTTTAACCAATTTGTTTAAACATATGTTGTTATTGTAAGTACCAACAACCAGGCAGTTGGAGACGGGACTAAAATTGGAGTGTTCCCAAGACTTTGTAGATTACTTTATTCCCTCAAAGGTTTTAAAGGGCAAGAAAAAAAATATTTTTTTGATCTTTCACCTGTGTATTTTAATTTTCCAATAAGTTTATTCTTTTCTGGATTTTGTACACTTTTTTCAGGGTTTTTTGCTCAATTGTTTGCTGTTGTGTTTTTTAATTTCTTCTCATTTTTATGCTTGGCTGCCACATTTTCCTACAAAATACAGTCACCACACTTTATAGTAAATCTTGTGAAATGCTTTGAGACATGCTGCCGCCATGAAAGGTTCTATACCAAATGTAAGGACTTTTTTGGTTCTTGCTGGCAAAGAGTCACAAAAATGTAGACAGATGGACAAAATAAACACAACCAATAGACAGACAATCAGATAGAGAAACAGATCAGCAGGGAACAATTAGAAACAGCCTAAGGACAAAAAGAAAATATATGAACACAAGAGGGGGAAAATGGGTTGACCAGCAGGTAGTCTTTGTTTTGTGTCGAAGCACCTTGCACTGGGGAATAATTTTTCAGCTTCATGGTGCAGATGGCTGCATAAGTTAAAACTTCATGCTGGTTAAGTTACTGCTGGCAAGAACCATGTTGGGGTATTTCTCTGCTCCTTTGGAGACAACACAGCCTCACAATAAGGTTTATACAGATTATAAGGTTTCTTTTTGTACGCTAGAACCTACTTAAGTAATGTAAAAGACATCCCAGTACTAGGACCATTGGATAGTACACAAAGTAAAAATGGCACCAGTACATTCAGAACCTCATGTTTGTCAACGTTTAAAATCATTATATGAAGGCACAATAAAGAAGGAGGTCAGGTGTCCACACACCTGCCAATAGATTGAATTAAGCCCAGATGAATCAATAAAGCTTTAACATGATTTCCAACAGAAACTCTTCATACATTCAGTTTACATTGGTGACATCTTTTTTCTGTCCATTTAAAAACAGAACAGAAAACTATTGCAATTAGAGACAGAAGTGGAATAAAATTGGGTAAAAACTCCATTAACACACTTGGTGTCATTTTTGCTTTGTCAGCCACTTGTCTAATTTTAGTAGGTTAAATAATGAATTACAATTGTGTGTTTCTTCTATAAAAATTACTGTTAGTATGACTGACAGGTAGCTTAAAACTCCTAAAATGTAATGCACTCAGATGATATATACTGGCTATGCTATGACTGGTCAATCTCTCTTATAAAACATAGGCAATAGTCATTAAGAGTGCTCCAAAATAATTACCCTGCAACATTATAATTTACCACAGTGCCAGCTGTTTTGTGAGAGCAAATCAGTTTCCTGCTGCATCACAACAGTCCCATCCAGCTGATACCAAAATCATAAGCAAATCTCTTGCATTTTGAAACATTCATTATTTACTGATGGTTTTCTGTATCATTTTTCAGTTAGAAAAGTTCTAGAGCAGTGGAAATTAGGATGATATTATCAGCAACTGCAAAAATACAACCTGTGGTTTTGAGATTACTTTATATACGTGGCTTCAACATCATTTTACAAAATAAATCTACATTCGATTAAAAGTAAGGGGCCAACTGGAAATGGGTATGGTTGATTCCTTTTAAGTTTAACAAGTAAACAGCAGCAATACATATTGTTGTCATTCCATAAGTTAAGTTAGCTGGCAACTAAAGGGTTCCACTATATTAAAACTCAGCAACTAAAGAATTTCCCCACCTACGGTTTATGAAATTATGGCTTATTTCAGGAAAATGATTCATTTATTCCACCAATACATCAGTGTTGTGAAAAGTCTCTCACTTTTCTTAAACTCCTACTGTAAAAACAATTTTCAAATTCTGTCTCTCCTACTTCAAAAAAAACATATTATAAAAAGTTTTCAGTTTCACAAATCTTTTAGAACTATACTGCATAAGCAAGGTTAGAACTTACTCATATATTGTGTCAGGTCAGCTCATATTCACTCATATGCATGTCAGCTTGGCTCAGTTGGTAGCACTCTCCGAGTCAGAAGGTTGTGGGTACAAGTCACACATTGGGATTTGAACTTACATCACCTAAGCTGACACTGCATGGTAGTGCTAGGTGTATGTTGCATTGTTAGAATTGCAGTTCTTCAGATGATATATTCGTCTGCTCATTTAGGTGGATGTTAAAGATCCCATGGCACTACTCTCCTGGTGACCTGGCCAGCAATCCCCCAAATAAAATGGGTCATTCATTTCATGGCTGCACAATGGGGCATTTGCCTACAAATACAGTCGCTCCACTTCAGTTAAACGTGTCAAGACCTCCCAAAGTAAAAGGCAATGCACCAAATATAAGAAATATTATTACTGTCATAAATGACAGTTCTGGACAAAAATAAATTATTTGAAAAATGTAACAAGCCTCACATTTGATACAGCCACATATCACATCATTGAGACGTCCCAAAACGCTTCATAGGATTTACTGTAAAATGGAATGTTTATGTATTTTGTCAGCAAAACTCAACAGCCAGTTATATACAGCAATGTCTTACAAACAACCATGGAGTTATTTGGGGGACCCTTTGGAGGACATCATGAGAAACTCCCTTCTCTTTTCAAATAGTGCCATGGGATCTTTAACATCTACCTGAACTGGCAGGTTGGGCTCTCCACCCTGCTCGCCACCCTCAATGGTCCCAACCACGCTGCTCGGGTCCAAATCCCTGACTGTCCAGCGCCTTGGGACGTCCTCCCAACGCGAAAGGCACTATACACACGTAATTTGGTTTTGCACTGTACAGCAGTGGTTAGTTTCCACAAACTGAATGATCCAAGTGCTAGTTGATGCAAAGATATTTGACAACAACCAGCAAATCTAGATCAATCCATGAATTTAGATATTTTGACTGGAACAAAAATTGTCTGCCCAATAACACAGCTGGTATTAGAATTTTTCTGGGGAGGAAATATCCAGTACAGAACTTAATAGAACTCATAATACCAGTTTTGCAATCTTATTTTATTTAGAGATGCAGTCACAATATCATGGTTTAAAAATATTGTGCAGCTATTTCTAAACTGGAATCCCAGGATAATGGTTGTCAATGAGGGAAAAGAGAGCGGAGAAGTGACTCTTTATTTCAACAAAAATTACATTGAACCACACAGCCATCAGCAAACTGGTAATGCTCTCTGGTTACTATAAACACATGTTCAGTGTTTTTAAAGTAAACCACTAAGAACACTGAACAGGCCAAAGTCAGCTGGATTACATATTTTGTGTCTAGACATATACTAACGACACAGCCATCAAATCAATCATAAATACTATCATTCAAATTGTGGTCTGGAGTAGAAATTATGCCATATATAATGTTTAGAACAAGTCAATCAAACACAATCTATTGATCAATAGATAGGTTTCAGCATTATTCTGGCATTAATTCATAAAGTTAAACATATCTACTACCACTTATTATTTCCTCTTTTAAAAAGTAGTAATAATCTACTTTCAAACAAAGTATGTTCTCTTTCCTGGGCAAGAGCTGCTAAGAAATATTACATGTATGTGAATTTTATGCAATACACGGAGGCAGGAGAAATTTGAACCGAGATAATAAAACACTGAAATTGCATGGATTTAGAATTATTAAGAATTTGGAAGTTAAGAATTCTTAACTTGGATTAAGACCTCGTATTGAACACTTTTGTGCCTTATTATTGTAGAAAATTACATCATCACATTACAAGTGTATCGACTCTGAAGGCTTGTATGTGTGCAGACATTAGTGAAACCTGCAATCAACCAACCTACACCTAATGGTAGCAATTGCTGGAAAATTGAGTAAAGGAGTATAAGAAGCATCCAAACTTCTTTTCTCCAATTACTTGCAATTATTACCTTTTGTTTTTATCAGCTATTTATTCAGCATCTGAGAGTACTGTACCAATACCAAGTACCTGAATTGCACCATGGAACCTGTAATGCCCCTCAGCTCAAGAAAGCATGTGTATTAAATCAATAAATAATATTTAAAAAATACAGACAGAATAAAGACAAAATGCTGTATGAAACATTAACAGCATTCTTTTGACTGAAGGTGTGGAAACTGTGCTTTGCTCTCCCACATAGCACAATGGTGTCATAAAACACAGCCTGAGCCATAACATCCTGCAGTCATTCGAGTTGAAAATCATTTGTAAAGTTTGAGCAATATCCTATACAGTAAAACTCACATAAGTCGTATCAATCGGGTCCATAACATTCAATACGACTTATGCAAAATATGAGTTGCAGGCAAACTGAATAAATCATAGAAAATCTGATTTAATCAATAATCTACACTGCACATGTATAATTCAATGCAACCGGTAAGTGTGCATGCGGTAGTTCGTCCCTGCAGTTGCTAAGTGCGCATGAGGTGATGGGTCAAGACTACATTTCCCCCAATTCAATGTGTCTTGACCC